TATATTTTTATATTATCATGTTTTTATATTTTTATATTATCATGTTTTTATATTTTTATATTATCATGTTTTTATATTTTTATATTATCATGTTTTTATATTTTTATATTTTTATATTTTATACTCGGAGATCTTTATCTTCAATACTGATGTCAACACTCACCTTATACTGTAGAACTGAGCAAGGCTAATAAACTGTTGCACATCTCTTTGCTTGGTGGAACGAGGCCACTCTTTGATAGCCTTGACATGGCCTGAGCTTGTCTTGATACCTTCTTTACAAACGACGTGGCCCAAGAATTCAGTTTCTTCTTGCATAAAGGAACACTTGCTAAGTTTGGCATAGAGACGATTCTTCCGGAGAAATGAGAGTACACTGCAGAGATGGGCTAGGTGCTCAGTCTTGGCCTTGGAGTAGATTAGAATATCATCCAGGTAAAGTACTACACACTTATCCAGCAGTGGGCTCAATGCTTGTGACATCATGGTGGAGAAGGAAGCAGGGGCATTAGTTAGACCAAACGGAACAACATTAAATTCATAGTGGCCATATCAATATACAACGAAATGCAGTCTTATGAGTGTGTGCATCAAAAATCCGCTGCTGGTGATAACCTGACATTAGATCGAGTTTTGAGAAATATTTTGCATCTCGAAAGCGGTCGATGAGCTCATCGATACGCGGAAGTGGATGGCGATTTTTGCGTGTGATTCTATTTAAGCCACGGTAATCTACGCAGATACGAAGGGTCCCATCTTTCTTTTTGACGAAAAGGACGGAAGCCCCATAAGGTGATGTGCTGGGCTTGATAAATCCTTTAGCTAAGAGTTCATTCAGCTGTTTGCGTAACTCGTCGAGTTCAGCGATAGAGAGGCGAATCACAGGGCGAACAGGTGGATCTGCGTTGGGATCTGTTTCAATTTCATAGAATCGCCACGGTCTGGTGGAAGACCTGCAGGGAGTGAGTCAGGAAAGACATCGGGGAACTCAACCTGTATAATTGACGCAATATCAGGGTGTATGTCGGAATTGGTAGATGAGGGAATTTTACTGTGGCGAGATAAACCTCGCTGCCTGGCTGTGCCGCGGCAGTTTAGAAATGCATGTGACTCATAAGTAGCCCACGAGACTTAGCTGTAATGGAATTGGTTTGAAACCCTCTGCATGACCAGTGCATGGCATTGCCATTATGTGTGAAGTGGGGATCATTAGTGCGCCAGTCGATAGAGGGATTAATTGTGGTAAGCCAAGGCTTGCCGAGAATGAGGTCATAGTATTTGAGGGGATAGACGAGAGGATGAAGAGTGTCGGAATAAGTGTCACGTTCAAGAGTGATGGAAACAGTATGTTTGGTGATGGAGCGGTCGCCATTAGGGAGTATAATTGGAATGGAGGAACAGGAATGGAGGGGAATGGAGTTTTGTTTTTGGAATGAGGAGCTAATGACGTTACCCTCAGCGCCACCATCGATTAAAATCCTGGCTGGACGGCCATTAACAGCACCAAGGAACGTGAGTAGGGTACGGGCAGCAGTGTCGACTGTGAAGGATTGTAGTTGAAGGGTCTTCTTGCGTGAGCAACGTTGCAGGTTCTTGGGGGAGAAGGCAGGTCCACGGTCTCAGAGAGGAAGATACAGAGATCGTGTGGCCATTGGAATGTTGGTGAGTGTTTAGGTTTAATTTATCTCTGGCACGTGGCCCATTATTTACATTTTTAGCTTTTTTCGTTGGTTTCTGACTGCAGGAGGGAGCGTATGCATAGCAGAATTTTTAACTTCAACAGATTTATTTGTAATGTTGGGAAAACTTAAATCTGGTTTGCGCGCACTCCCCTTGTCCAGAAGAGAAGGAGAGGTTGCTTCAGCGATCAAGCCCTGGACTAAGCTTGACCGCTGGGGGCTTTTCCCGACATAGTGGAACATTGCTGGAGTATTTATTCATTTCTGGTAGAGGGACCTGTACCAGGTAACTACGTGTTTATCTACATAATAGAGAGTTTTCGCAACCTCGTTTTTACATCAAAATTCACATCGGGGAGTGAAAAAAAACCTTAAAAAGCATCTCTATTTTTGAAATCCAGCCTTGTCATAAATTTGCTTTGTAAAATACAACAAGATTCGTTTTTCTCGTATTTCTACGTCTAGCCAGAATTGCTTAAATTTAGCCAAAAAAATATAAAAAATTGCCAATTCTATATTTTTATCATTTTTTACCATAAAAGACGCGACTTTTTAGACTATAGAGGTTATCAACATTAGAAATCTCTATTCTATTAGTCATCAATGCTCTAGCCTAGAGTCATTTAAAGCCGTAGTGTCTACGAGCCTTTACCTCCTGCTATTCCTTTCACCGAAAAAACTCTGGCACACAACAGAAAGCATTCTTCTCTAATGAATACTCCCCCAGAACAAAATGAGACGCATAACTTACCTTCCTTTCAGAGATTGTCGATTGAGGATATATCCCAGACGGATCCTGTGGATGATGTTGAAGAAGCAGGATCAGACTCTGAATCACCTTTATCGGTAAATCTGAACATCGTACGGAAATCTGCGTCAGAAAGTGCTTCCAAATCGATACGATTATTTTGGAGTCGAGGTACCTGGAAGTTAGCAGCACCATCATCATTTATATCCCTTCCATCGAGAAGCTGTTGAGCGTTGACGAGGTTTAAGAGAACGGGTGCAATGTGGACGCTTTACATATTTTTTTTTTTTTTTTTTTAATTCGAAGTATTTATTTTAAAATCAGTCACAGCGTTAAGAAGAACATGGAAAAGTCGTTCTGTATATTACTAATGGCGAAAATAAAAATGGTCATTTTTCAGAAACACATCAAACTCTTTTAAGTTCATTCTCAGCTGATGTAAATCCTTGATGTAAACTTGGTTGCGAAAACTCTCTAATAGGTAGTGAAGACAAAAGGTGATCTTTATTAAATTATTATTACAAGCCTTTTATAGGCTTAAGACTATATACTGTGACAGGGAAGCAGTTCTCGATCTCGTATTCAATGGCGGAAGGCGTGACCCTCTTTCGATCATCTTGTAATGGGTGTGCTACCAGAGCATTAAATCCCTCCAGAAGGATCTATTGACAACTCTCTATCCTGCCACCAGCAACTCTAGTAGGAATATCAGGAGATCCCAGTTTAAGCTTCTTAACAAACGGGTGTGGACTTTGTTGTCTCAATCAGAGGAGGACACTACCCTGTACACTATTCTTCAGATCATCTCCCAAATCCTCTTGTGGATTGAACTTGATTTGTTTGCTTCACCAACGTCATAGCATGTATTTGTGTCGAGCTGGTCTACCATTTTCAACCTGCTACATGATACGTCGCTCCGAGCTATTACGTAAGTAGAATGTTTGTGGACGTTTTAGACGTTGATTCTGCCACTGCTGTAGCTCGGCAAAGAAATTCAGTTAATAGGTGTAATTACCATGCATTCTCGCTTTCCCTTAGTGGTGAATTAGTTTCCAGAGCAAGTGCCCAAGCACGAAAGGATTCTGAGAGCAAGTATGGATCGAGTTGTTCAACTCCATGTGGTCGGAAGGTGAATATGTCAATCCGAATCCGGTTTGACGGCAAATGGCGGCATAGAGTTGCCATATTTGAATTCAAAGCAACGACATCAATCCAAGTTGTGTGTGAAAAGCAGCAGTGGAAGTCTGTCCGACTGAATGCCGCCATCTTTTATGATCTAGAGACGAAAGGTTTGGATATCAACAAAAGTTATCCAATTATTGCTGAGGGACAGGGACTAGGACTTAATTTCTAAGCTCTGCGACGGTACGATGATGTTTTAGGTGCAGGACGCTCAACCGCAAAAGGCATCACCCTCCCTTCACATAGTGAACAGTTAAAAGCATTCTTCGAGCCCGAGACGGTGTTCATCCTCTTAGCCTTCAAGGTGATTATATTGGGCTGACGTCTAAGGATTATTGGTAAAAGCTAGACAAGTGATGCTGACATTTATCATCGCATGGTTGATGACTTGTTTTCGCGTTTGATTATCTCCACTCACACTGCCTCTCTTGTTGCTTCACCTCCACGCACTTTTTTCTCTCTCCACGCACTTTTTTACTCATACTGTACACACACACTCCAAACACTTTTTTTTTTTTTTTTTTTTTTTTTCACCTCTCTCTCTCCGTCTCTCTCTGCCTCTCTCTCTATTGATTCCCAAAGCATCAGTAAGTAGTTTTAGCTTGTTCTTATTCACATCTGTTGGAACCTGGCGCTTTATTTTTATGGTCTTATGGAGCACGACTTGACCACCTACCACCCATCATCGCAACATGATCGAGCGTGTCTGTCTGACGGAGCTAAAGCTCCAAAAAGGAAAGCTTTATGACATTGTCTCTTGGTCCTCTCTAGTCTTTTTTTTTTTTTTTTTTTTTTTAGCTATTACTTTATTTTTCCTTTTTCGTCATTCACAACTTTTTTTATCGCCATAGTGTTACATATTATTTTCCGCATCAGCTTTTATCTCTCAACACACCATTTACTCTCTACTGCCTCTCCCACTCCTCCCTTCTTTTAGCACACCTACTCATCTCTCTTTCTCACACACACTGTCAGCCTTTTTTTTACTGGGTTCGTCACTTTTTTTTTACACCGGATACATGTCTCTCTGACATGTCTTGGAAACAATCGTATAATGAAGTGCCTTTTATTATGAAATCGTGGCAGAATGTGCTAGGGGGACTCCGCGGATAAAGACTGCTTTAAAATAGCACACCTTAGCTCCCATCATCACCCCTTTCGTTATTGCTAGAAAGGTTTGATGACCGTGAGCGTCCTAGACGTTTCATGGAGCATACTCATTTGGGGACCCTTTAGCAAAGGGCGCCAATGTGTTCAGGTCTCCTACTATTCCTCTCTTGCAATAAATATTAGGCTCGGTAAGGCAAGAATCACCAACTAATATTCACAATTGCGTTTCTACTTTATTTGTCGACCCGAAATAGATTTTCTGTATAAACTCAAAAGTAATAATGACAGTAATTCTTCCCGAAGGCACCGGCAGCAAGTATACTAGCAAATGTGAACCATGGTCATCGGCTCTTGGACACGTCCCTGGCTCGGATTACTTTAGACAGTTGAAGAATCCTCGCGAAATCAATTATCAAGATTATCTAAAGTTCTGCAGTGCGTTCCCAAGATAAGAGTGTCTTCGATTCAAATTGGATGACCATAATATTACCAGCACTACAGAATAGTGGACGCATCAACCTTGAACAAGAATACTTAAGGTTAAATAAGGAATGGAAACAGGACAAAATACGAAGGGAACAATTCTGGAAAGTTGCCATATTTGAAGTCAAAGCAACGATATCAACCCAAGCTGTGTGTGAAAAGCAGCAGCGGAAGTCTGCCGACTGAATGCCGCTGTTTTGTATGATCTAGAGACGAAAGGTTCGGACTACGGTGTCAGGTAGTCCTGAACCAGTGTCACAGTATATAGTCTTAAGCCTATAAAAGGCTTGTAATAATAATTTAATAAAGATCACCTTTTGTCTTCACTACCTATTAGAGAGTTTTCGCAACCAAGTTTACATCAAGGATTTACATCAGCTGAGAATGAACTTAAAAGAGTTTGATGTGTTTCTGAAAAATGACCATTTTTATTTTCGCCATTAGTAATATACAGAACGACTTTTCCATGTTCTTCTTAACGCTGTGACTGATTTTAAAATAAATACTTCGAATTAAAAAAAAAAAAAAAAAAAATATGTAAAGCGTCCACATTGCACCCGTTCTCTTAAACCTCGTCAACGCTCAACAGCTTCTCGATGGAAGGGATATAAATGATGATGGTGCTGCTAACTTCCAGGTACCTCGACTCCAAAATAATCGTATCGATTTGGAAGCACTTTCTGACGCAGATTTCCGTACGATGTTCAGATTTACCGATAAAGGTGATTCAGAGTCTGATCCTGCTTCTTCAACATCATCCACAGGATCCGTCTGGGATATATCCTCAATCGACAATCTCTGAAAGGAAGGTAAGTTATGCGTCTCATTTTGTTCTGGGGGAGTATTCATTAGAGAAGAATGCTTTCTGTTGTGTGCCAGAGTTTTTTCGGTGAAAGGAATAGCAGGAGGTAAAGGCTCGTAGACACTACGGCTTTAAATGACTCTAGGCTAGAGCATTGATGACTAATAGAATAGAGATTTCTAATGTTGATAACCTCTATAGTCTAAAAAGTCGCGTCTTTTATGGTAAAAAATGATAAAAATATAGAATTGGCAATTTTTTATATTTTTTTGGCTAAATTTAAGCAATTCTGGCTAGACGTAGAAATACGAGAAAAACGAATCTTGTTGTATTTTACAAAGCAAATTTATGACAAGGCTGGATTTCAAAAATAGAGATGCTTTTTAAGGTTTTTTTTCACTCCCCGATGTGAATTTTGATGTAAAAACGAGGTTGCGAAAACTCTCTATTATGTAGATAAACACGTAGTTACCTGGTACAGGTCCCTCTACCAGAAATGAATAAATACTCCAGCAATGTTCCACTATGTCGGGAAAAGCCCCCAGCGGTCAAGCTTAGTCCAGGGCTTGATCGCTGAAGCAACCTCTCCTTCTCTTCTGGACAAGGGGAGTGCGCGCAAACCAGATTTAAGTTTTCCCAACATTACAAATAAATCTGTTGAAGTTAAAAATTCTGCTATGCATACGCTCCCTCCTGCAGTCAGAAACCAACGAAAAAAGCTAAAAATGTAAATAATGGGCCACGTGCCAGAGATAAATTAAACCTAAACACTCACCAACATTCCAATGGCCACACGATCTCTGTATCTTCCTCTCTGAGACCGTGGACCTGCCTTCTCCCCCAAGAACCTGCAACGTTGCTCACGCAAGAAGACCCTTCAACTACAATCCTTCACAGTCGACACTGCTGCCCGTACCCTACTCACGTTCCTTGGTGCTGTTAATGGCCGTCCAGCCAGGATTTTAATCGATGGTGGCGCTGAGGGTAACGTCATTAGCTCCTCATTCCAAAAACAAAACTCCATTCCCCTCCATTCCTGTTCCTCCATTCCAATTATACTCCCTAATGGCGACCGCTCCATCACCAAACATACTGTTTCCATCACTCTTGAACGTGACACTTATTCCGACACTCTTCATCCTCTCGTCTATCCCCTCAAATACTATGACCTCATTCTCGGCAAGCCTTGGCTTACCACAATTAATCCCTCTATCGACTGGCGCACTAATGATCCCCACTTCACACATAATGGCAATGCCATGCACTGGTCATGCAGAGGGTTTCAAACCAATTCCATTACAGCTAAGTCTCGTGGGCTACTTATGAGTCACATGCATTTCTAAACTGCCGCGGCACAGCCAGGCAGCGAGGTTTATCTCGCCACAGTAAAATTCCCTCATCTACCAATTCCGACATACACCCTGATATTGCGTCAATTATACAGGTTGAGTTCCCCGATGTCTTTCCTGACTCACTCCCTGCAGGTCTTCCACCAGACCGTGGCGATTCTATGAAATTGAAACAGATCCCAACGCAGATCCACCTGTTCGCCCTGTGATTCGCCTCTCTATCGCTGAACTCGACGAGTTACGCAAACAGCTGAATGAACTCTTAGCTAAAGGATTTATCAAGCCCAGCACATCACCTTATGGGGCTTCCGTCCTTTTCGTCAAAAAGAAAGATGGGACCCTTCGTATCTGCGTAGATTACCGTGGCTTAAATAGAATCACACGCAAAAATCGCCATCCACTTCCGCGTATCGATGAGCTCATCGACCGCTTTCGAGATGCAAAATATTTCTCAAAACTCGATCTAATGTCAGGTTATCACCAGCAGCGGATTTTTGATGCACACACTCATAAGACTGCATTTCGTTGTATATTGATATGGCCACTATGAATTTAATGTTGTTCCGTTTGGTCTAACTAATGCCCCTGCTTCCTTCTCCACCATGATGTCACAAGCATTGAGCCCACTGCTGGATAAGTGTGTAGTACTTTACCTGGATGATATTCTAATCTACTCCAAGGCCAAGACTGAGCACCTAGCCCATCTCTGCAGTGTACTCTCATTTCTCCGGAAGAATCGTCTCTATGCCAAACTTAGCAAGTGTTCCTTTATGCAAGAAGAAACTGAATTCTTGGGCCACGTCGTTTGTAAAGAAGGTATCAAGACAAGCTCAGGCCATGTCAAGGCTATCAAAGAGTGGCCTCGTTCCACCAAGCAAAGAGATGTGCAACAGTTTATTAGCCTTGCTCAGTTCTACAGTATAAGGTGAGTGTTGACATCAGTATTGAAGATAAAGATCTCCGAGTATAAAATATAAAAATATAAAAATATAAAAACATGATAATATAAAAATATAAAAACATGATAATATAAAAATATAAAAACATGATAATATAAAAATATAAAAACATGATAATATAAAAATATAAAAACATGATAATATAAAAATATAAAGATATAAAAATATAGATATAGAAAATATAGAAAATAAATCATAAAGAAATAAATATCGATTTTTTATTCAACGGGTTTTTCATAAATGTCTTGCCAATGTTCTTTTAGAACGCCGTAGTCGTTGTTTACTCTCGGCAGTATTGTCATTCTCATTGTCATGCTTTCGATTCATTTCTGTTGATTCGAAAAGCATTGCCAACGATTCAAAATTGTCAAACAACTTATGAATGTTCTCAAGCTTTGTCAATGTCACGAGCCCGTGCAATGAATCTTTTTTTGACATTTGCTCTTGCCATTATAAAGCTTTTGAGTCGGCAAACGCTGGTGTAGGAGAGCGCAGATGCATCAATGAGGACAGAAAGCGGTTCTCCATCAAGTAGACAAAAAAGAGTGTACACCTTATTTTTGGGATCTGTTTTTTTGTCGGAAGATTTTTTCCAACATATTTCAAGATATCCATGGAGTAATGGGGAAGTAAAGGATGAGAACTGAAAGTTATTGTTTTGAAGTTATGAGGGAGAACGAACGTTTTATATGAAAAGAGGTTTATTTAAAATAATAACAAAGAACTACTGTTCTTGTTCGCTATTTATCATGACATGGCGATTGAACTTCTTTTCTATTTAATCTCAAAAAAAAAAAAAAAAAAAAAAAAAAAAAAAGAAGAATCTATTAACTCATTAACAACAAATAAAGGATGTCATACCTCTCTTCAAGAGCGTCTATCCTCTCACAAAGCATCTTAATTACTGCCTCATGTTTTTTAACACTATCCTGTAATGAATGGCCATCTGAACATGTATCGGCATTCGAGGCTGGAGGGACCGGCGGCGCATTATTTTCGGCAACTTTTACAGGTCTTGTAGTGTCGTAACACAGATGTACGGTTGAAAAAAAAAAAAATAGAGGAGAAAGGCCATGTCTGACATGGGATTACGATGAATGAGGAAAGGTTCAGTTGTATTTTCTAACTCGAACTCAACCAGGATGGATAAGTGATAACGATTTAAATGATCATGATATTCACGGAGTAATTTTTCTTCATCTTTTTTCTTTTTTCCCACGAGTCCTTTGGCACAAAAGAAAAAAATGTATTTGTTGGATTCACTCATTGTGGAAAGATAAAAAGAAAGATGAAAGAATGGTCAAGAGGAAAGAGACAAAGAACAAAACCAACACGCAGTGAGGGAGATGAGACACAAGAGAATGGAAGAAAAAGGAAGAGATACAAAGAAAAAAATAAATATGAGCATACAGGGGAAGAGACACGGGCCATTTTTTGGCAGACGTCGATTACGCCTTATCAGCGGCCCAATCGATGTGTCAATAAGTGAGTCAAATTCATTAAAGTTGAAGCCAACATAAAATATTTGGTGTTTCTACTTTCAAATGTGGAAGGCTGTACATGGCTAACATCACTTTTGTGAGCCCATGTAGCCCAGATGTCGTAATGAAGCCCGGTTTGCGCATTTAAAGTGAGTTTAATGATCTGATATCTTTTTCAGAACAAATTAACACAGCCAAGTTTCGCGGTAAATGCCTTGTACTTCAGTATCATGTATTCGATTTGTATTTTCAGTTGTCATGAAGAAAGTTTCAGTCTTCTCTTTATACTTCCCTTTGTGTCCATGGCACTCTCAAGCTCATTTCTCGTATCAAAAAGTTCGAGCTCGAATTGTGCGAGCCTGGTAATCAATGCCAATTTGTGTCGTTTCAGGCTGACAAGCACGCCTATTCATAAAAAGTCAGCAACTATTTATTATTATTCTATATACATAGTTCTTCAGATTGGGTGGATGCTACCACGTTGAATGGTGTTTACGTTATAGAAGATAATATAATATGTCCTTACGACAAATTTGGTAGAACATGCTCCGCATCCATCGACATTTGTTGCTGAATAGATATCATTTGCCCCAAAATAGGTCCCGCAATAAGGCTCGTAACGTGACAGCCAGGTTACCCAACTCGACCCGAAGCCTTTCTGACTAATATATAAATATAGATTAAGGTATAGATACATAAAGTAAATTGTTTGTCATTAATGAAGAGAGAGTGTTTTAATGCAATCAATGCGAAATATACAAAGTAACAGCTATTTAAACAGATCTGCAAAATTATAAAGCCTATGTCAACAAAATGGGACGTCCTTACAATGTTGGGTAAAAAAAAAATAGAATTGCTGTTAGACAGTCAACAGCTCATCGTCAATTCTTTGAGTATTGCCACTGTCCTTCCAGCGAGCATTCATCCGCACTGTATCAAAACTCCTATCGTGCCAGAAATGCACCAAATTCACCCCTTGGTCCAGTTCCGCGTCGGTTTGCCAGTATGGGTGCTTAAAATAGTCGTCCTCACAGGTAAAATGAACAACCCAAGCTTCTTCTGCTGGGAGTAAACGTTTGTAAGTTAGCGTCTTGCTGATATGGTCCTTAATAGAAGTTTGACTCCCTGTAGCCAAAAGCTCGATAACAACCGTAGGTTTTCCTGCTTTCTTGATGACAATGTCACTATATTTGTGGTCCTCACGCTCACGG